AGCGATTAAGGGCAGGGGACATTCAAAACACACCCATCCCTTGCTATCTATCAGAATCTATGGATTCCTGAGTGGTAGATGAAGTAAGAGTTCAGGTAGCGAGTGTATAAGTTTCTTATTGCTGCCGTAACAATAACCACAAACGGAGTGGCTTAAAAACAACAAAAATTAATTATTTTATGGTTCCAGAGATCGAAAGTCCCAAATAGGTTCCACTGGGCTAAAATCAAGGAGTGCATTCCTTCTGGAGGCTCTAGGAGAAAATCTGTTTGCTTTCTTTTTCTGGCTTCTAGAGGCTTCCCACGTTCCCTGGTTTATGTTTCCCCGCCCCCATCTTCAAAGCCAGTGACAGCAGGTTGAGTCCTTGTCACGTTGCCCCCACAGGGTGTACTGAGTGAGAAGCAGGCCCCAGGCTTTGGCGCCATTCAGACTGGCTCCCAGTTCCTCTTCCACCAATTACAAACCTGCTGACTCTGAACAAGCGAGTGTTCCCATCTGTAAAATGGGAAGGCACTGTGTAGTTCATGGGGTGGTTGTTAGGAGGGAAGGACGTAGCCAGAGTAAGCGCCTGGCACCTGGTCAAAGGCTCGACATGAATGAGTGACCCCCCGCCCAACCCCGACAATTGAGGTTTCCAGCTCGGGCCTTTCTATGCCAGGCCCTGGCTATTTCTAGATATGAGAACCCTTCTGTTTCTGCCCCACGCTGGGGACACATGCCGGTGTGACTCATGGCTGCAAGGAGCAGGGCTCCTTCTCATTCCCTCCAAAAAGGGGGGGCTCATTTTTGAGGATGTGTGTGCCAACTGGGAGGGGGGCTGGTACCAGCTGCTCTGCCATCCTGGTGTTTGACCTGGAAGGTTCTTGGGACCTCAGGTGGCTTGAAGGGTGGGTTATCTCTGTCCCCTCAGCTGTAAGAGCCTATAGCTCCCTGTTCTGCTGTTCTACTAACAGTGTGGCTCAGTTTCCCCCGTTTCTGCCTCTTACTGCTTCTGGCCCTGCCACTGACTACTCTACTTTCTCAGTCACTGTCTAAATGCCCCAAGAGGGACCACCTTATTGATTCATTTAGTCCTGCCACGGTCCCCACTGGGTCCCCGTTGGGGTTCAGGTTTCTCTCTGAGGGTGGACGAATCTCCTCTCAATCTGGACCCTTCATTTCCAGCAGGCCCCAGAAAAATCTTGAATTGACATTGAATTGATTTGGCATTGACCTTGCCATGATCTGGTCTGGGGATGGAGGTCCATGTTCCTCACCATGTGCCACGGCAGACCTCTTGTATTGGGCATGCCTCTCCCTTCAGCTGAGCCCAAATGTTTCAATTATTTATCCGGATATCAAACCACTCCAAAATGTAGTGGCTCGAAATGACTTATTTGTTCATGATTCTGCAGTTGGACGGGGTTCTGCAGGGATGGCTCATCTGGTGTTGGCTGTACGACTCGTGGGAGGCTTTCAGCCAGGAGCCTGACTGGGGCTGGGACATGAAAGATGATGCCATGTCCTTCTGGGACTTGTGCTGTCTCTCTGCATGTGGCCCGTCTTTCCAGCGGGGCTGCCTGAGTTTCTCTGCCTGGAGGCTCAGGGCTCTGGGACAATGAAAGCAGAAGCTGCCAGGCCTCTAGAGATCTAGGCCTGGAACTAGCACAGTGTCAATTGTGCCACCTTCTGCTGGTCACAGAAAGCCACCGGGCCAGCCCAGAGTCAAGGGGAGGAGAAAGAGAGTCCTCCTTTTGATGGCAAGAGTGACATGTGCGTATTGGGGGTGAGGCGGGATGTTAGAGTCTGTCTTTAAAGACAATCTACCAACCAGGCTTGATCTTAAAACCCAGAGGATGACAATGGGCATCTGAGATAATCAGTTGTCATCCCTGAGCTGGGTTACACTCCCATTTTTTAGCTTTCTGAAGCTCAGAAAGGGAGAGGGACTTGTCTGAAGGAGCCCAGGGAGGTAGCGGGAGGGCGGGTGCGGAGCCTCTGGGCCTCATCCACTCCACGCACAAGCACTTAGTGAGCACCGACCCCGTGCTGGGAGCACGGGACACAGGGAGGGACAAGCTCTGCCTCACGTGGGAGGACAGGTGAATGAACAGTGGAGGCCCATCTAGCCGGGAGGGTGCCTTTGACGTCGGGGTGCTTACGGGCCACAGTCCCCCGTGACAATTGCATTCGTTGTCTATTCAGGACAGTAAGTGAACCCCGGGCCATTTGGACTGAGGGCTTGTTGTCAAACACGCTCACGTTAACGCCTGCCTGCTACACCAGCACCGAGTTCTGCAGGAGCTCAGCGGAGGTGGCTCTCACCGGCAAGCCAGGAAATACTGCTTCGAGAAGGAAGCATGGCTTTGCACTGAGTTCAAAGGACCAGTTGGCCTTGAGCTGCCTGGGGGAGAAGTTGGCCCGAAGTGCGAGAGATTTCAGGCGGGGGGAGCGGCATGAGCGGAGACGTGGAGACGTGTGATGCGTGCAGGATGTCTGGGGTGGCGGGTGGGAAGCGGGTGCCAGCAGGAGGGAGTCTGGATGCGCTTCGGGGCCTTGAAGGCCCCACCCAGTTTCCGGGTGGTCTGATCCATTTCATTGCACCGGAACAGCATCCTGCGGCCTCCGAGCCTTGCATTTTTCAAACTCAGTTGATGAAACTTGAACATTCGGACAACAGAAGAGTCCAAACCATCTGAAGCTAATTGAGTTTGAAATTCCGACTCAGCCGTGGGCATGTCGGTTGCAACTTTATCTCCTGGACTGTCTGGCTCATAAACCAGCTTAGAGAAGAGAATCTTTCCCTCCACTGGTGGCTTTCTTGATTGAATATTGGGTCCCCTCCTGCCACTCCCAGGACTTGCTGGCGGATATAGACACAGAGGCTGGGAGGAAACATGGTGTTTCCTTTAGGGCTGAAGAGAGTTGATTTAGGATGGCACCTTTGGTCTGCCCAGGGTGATTTGGGGATGTCTTTCCTGGAAGGAGGCAGATTCCACGGCTGCTCGCTGGAGCCAGACTGAGCCGGGCTGGGCATTAAATGGCCCACGGGCCTCCCCGCCGTTGGGGGCTGGGCAGACTGACGTCAGGAGCAGGTCTTCAGGGAGTGCGGGCAATTTTCAGTCTATTTTATTACAGACTCAACTCACAGGGGGTCTCTTCAACTGTCAGGGATCTGGGTCAGGAAGAAAAAGGGCTTCCCCTGAGTAAGAATGGAATGGCCACCCGCTCTGCTGCCTTGCAGACCTCTTTTGAAACCCACAGCTGCCTCTTGCTGGCTGTGTGTCCTTGGAAAAGTTGCTTGACTGCTCTGAGCCTCGGTTTCCTCAACCGTAAGGGGAGGATCACAAAAGGGCTCTCCTCACTGGGCTGTGTTGAGGGGCTTAAACATGATCACGTGTGGCCTAGAGTTGGGGCTCACAAACAAACTGTGGCCCGAGCGTGGGGGAGCTGGCCCAGTGGTGAGGGGACAGAGGGGACCAGAATGCCTGAGCCATGAAAGGCTGAGAAATGCCGGTCGTGGGGCAATGCTAGGGCCATAGTTTCATCTCAAGCTTTTCCTTTCTGTTTCCTGCCTCGGCCAAACCACTCGGCAGGGGCGGGGGGATGCGGGGCCTGTCTGGCCTAATCGGGCCTTTCTTTGTTCTCCTCTCCTCTGCCATGAAAAGCCCCCATGCGAGCAGGCTGGCCCCAATCCACACTCAGCCTCATCCCAGCTCTGGCAGTTCCTCCTTCCAAGAGTCTTTTGTATCGTCTCCATGGCCTGAAGGGACAGGTAGCTGTCACTAGCTGAGTCCAGGCTGGGCTCCTGCCCAATCCCACTGCCTGCCTCCAAGAGTGCCCTCTGGGGCGGTCACACCTCTCAGACCCATCACGGCGGACTGTTTATAAACCAGACACTCACCTGCTGGCTTCCTGGACACTCATCAGGCACGTGGGACGCAGGGCCAACAGTCCCATTTTACAGCTGGGGAAATCGAGGCCCACAGAGAGGACGCGTGCTCACTTCCTCCTTCATTCTCCAAATCATGATGTCTTCATTCGCCAACATCCTTCTCTGTCTTTGAAATGCACCCACCCACCTGTGACTGTAGCTCTTTGGAGTTGCTCTATGCAGAGTTTGGAGTTAGACCTGGGTTCGAGTCCTTGATTACTGAGCTGGGTGATCTTGGATCAGTTTCTCTCTCTCTCTCTCTGCCTCAGTTTCCTTATTTATAAATTAGGTGGCCGGGTGCGGTGGCTGACACCTGTAATCCTAGTGCTCTGGGAGGCTGAGGCAGGAGGATCGCTTAAGCCCAGGAGTCTGAGGTTGCAGAGAGCCAGGCTGATGCCACGGCACTCTACCCAGGGTGACAGAGCGAGACTCTGTCTCTAGATCAATCAATAAATAAACTTGAGGTGATGATAGAATCTTCCATGAGTTGCGTGGCCACAGACCCTCCCTACAGCAACCACAGCACTACAGCACGGTGGCCTTTATGACAGGGCTGTCACTTTGTCCTCCACGGATGACTCCCCAGTCTCTTGCCCCATTCCCTCGGAAGCCTGTTCAGCCAGATACCCAGTTGGAAACCAAAGCAATGAACTCAGGCACACTGAGCTGTCTGTAACTGACGACAGCGTGCGGGAGGGGGCGTTTGCCGGCAGGATGCCTTGAGCCAGCGCAGCGCCCGCGGAGTGGATGCTCAGGTACTGCGGACACAGGTGAGGGGACCCTTTGGCCAGGGATCTTCCCGGTGGCAAGCAAGCTGCAGCTTCCTCTCCTTCAAGGACCCGAGGACAGGAAATTACTGAGTTAATTTCACAGGAGAAGTTTATGGTTCCCACTTCCTCACACCTCCACTGGGGCCTCTCCGTCCCTCCCTTTTCTTGTAGACAGAATGACCGGAATTGGGTTGACTTTTTTTTTTTTTTTTTCCAAAATATGACAAAGCCGCATATTAGCAGAGCTCAGAGGATTAGGGCAGGCCTGGGAGGTCATGGAAGCCGGTGTTGCAATCTTGGCATAACCGTGTCTACACTGCCCGCCCACCAGCCTTTCAGACAGAGCCCGGGAGGAGAAGTGGTTACCCCAGCTGTGTCCTGTGCCCTGGATGAGGAGCCTGGGGTCCCTGTCACTCTCTGCTGAACTGGTAAAACTGTCCTCCAACCCAGAGGCGTCGCTTCCTGCCTTGCGCGGGAGTTGGGAGCAGGCACTGGGAGAGGGTGGGCGGTGGCGGCTGGGGCAGTGTGGGAGAAGCGCATCTCATCGGGGTGCGCTCGGAGAGGCAGGGTGGTGAGGGGGTTGGAGCTTCTGGAATCCGAATGCTCGGCTGCAAATTGCTTGACTTCCTTGCTACGTGGTCTTGGTTTCCTCATCTGCAAAATGGGGTTAAGAACGATACTGCCTCACAGGTTGTGGGGTGAGGCAGTGGGAGATGGATGTATGGACGGGTACGTTTTCTTTTCTTTTCTTTTTTCTTTTCTTTTCTTTCTTTCCTTTCCCTTTCTTTCTTTCTTTCTTTCCTTCTTTCCTTCTTTTCTCTCTCTCCCTCCTTCCATCCCTCCCTCCCCCGCTTCTTTCTTCTTTCTTTGCCACAGGTGTTTAGAGGGGAGAAGCTAGGGCCTGGGGGGCTGGATTTGGGCTCACAACAGCAGGAGTGCTGCCGCCATGCGCCTGCTAGGGGGCCACACAGGGAAGCCCTTAGTGAGTGCCCGGAGCAAGCTACTTTGTTACTAGGCGGGAGCTACTTTGTTGCTAGCTAACCCCATCCCTAGCCATGGCGCGGACTTAGTAAGAAGCTCCCGGCTTGCGTGCTGTGGGACTTTGGGAAATTTGCTTCGCCTTTTGAGACGTGTGTTCCTGAGTGGGCTGCCCCTCAGGCGGTGGGGAGGGGCCGGGGTGAAATGAGAGGAGCTGTGGTCCCAGGCAGGCCCCCGGGACACGTTTCTGGAAACACCTGGAAGGCCTCCCTTGGCATCGTCTGGCTCCCCCAGGAGTGGTGGCCAGTGCCCTGAGCCAGCTGTGGTCTCCCAGCTGTGATTGAGTGGAGCATCTCTGGGCAAAACCAAGCACCTACCTGTTCCTGATGGGAGGGTCAGGTGCCAGCGGGGTTCTGGGCGGTTTCTTCCCTGTGGCCGGTGGTGGCCAGACCCGAAGCTGTGGAAGGAAGCAGGTCTCAGCTGTCCAGGAAATGTGCTCAGCTGCCCACCACCCTGCACCCAGTGTGTTGTGAGCGCTCAACAGCACTTGTGAGGGGAGGAACAGCAGCAGAGGGGCGCAGACCTTGGGGGCAGGATGTCTTTCCCTTGGGAAAACCAAACCCTCACTAAGATTATTTTGAGATCGTGTGTTTTTTTTAAAGACTCATAACATTATTTTTAGGGCATATACTTTTTTTTCTTTAAAAAATGCTTGAGAATTTTGCATTCCATGCTATAATAGACCTGTGCATTTAAAGATGGAGACTGAGGCCCTTGGAAGTCTTGGTCAGCTCTGGGGAGAGGTGCGCAGTCTGTGCTCTGGCCTCCCATCTGGGCGGCTCATTCGGGAAAACTTGGGGTAGAGCATTCATGGATCGTCAGGTCTGTGGGGGGTGCTCACAAATGATGGGGTCCTCTTCTCATCTCTCCATTGCGTTTTGGAGGCGATAGGGACACAGAGAGGTAAGGGACTTGCCCGAGGTCACACAGCTGGTAAATGCAGAGCCAGGGTTTGAACCCAGGTGGTTTTAACCACACCACTTGAACAGATGCCGCTTCAGTGAGCCCTGTTCCCGTCCGTCCTCCTACATTTGTGGCTGAGCAGCTGGGACATGTTTCCTGGACAACTGAGATGTACTTCCTTTCACAGCCTTGATTCTGATCACAGCCAGCTCCCAGAGGGAAGAAACCAGCGAGAACCCAGCCAGCACCTGGGCCCTTGAGGGCTCTTCTACCGGGGACAGCTCAGTGCTTGGCTTTGCCCAGAGAGGTAAACTTTGGAGTCCCCAAGCCAAAGCCCTAGATCTCTGGCCTGGGCTGGGTCTCTGCCAGGCTGGTGACCTACCAAGCCTGGACGGTGACCCACTGGTCTCTCTGGGACTAGAAGTAGCCCCGTGTGCCTCTCGTCTGAGGCCCTTGGCTGTGGGGCCAGCCTCTTCCTCCAGGTGGCTTAGCCACTGCCAATCTCTCCTCTGGGCTCCCGATCCACGGTCTGTGAGCCAGGAGTTGGCAGGGAGCCTAGAACCCATTTCCAGAAAAGGAGACTGAGTCCCTAGATATGATGTCCGAGAGAGAGGCCTGGTGTCCGCTCCCAGTTGTCCAGCCAAGTGGGTCCATGAGCTCGGGCAGGGACTGTACCCCAGGTCCTCCACGTTGGGCCAAATGGCGCCTTCCAGCTCCGAGTCACCTGAAAGAATCAAAGGCTCGTGGCTCAGAGAGGGGTAGAAACCGGTGCAGGCCACTGAAAATCGGAAGCAGAGTTGGAACTGGAACCTGGTTCCTCTGTCTCCCCGGCACCTTGTTCGTTCCTCAGTTTCCCTCAGGGAAGCATTCAAGGACTGGGGTTTGGATGGGGAAGACAGAGCTCCTCTTTGGGTCTCAGTGTCCCCTGATGTCTAACAGGAGAGCCGACAACCCCAGCCACGGGACCCCTTCTGTGGCTGAGTTTTTACCGCTCTGCAGAGCAACAAAAAAAGAAAAAGTACAGTCCATAGAGTGACCTTTTCATAACGTGAAGTATTTTCAGTTGGGAAAGTTGAGTCTGGGTCCCACCTACTTTTGTCGCTATTCACGTGTTGTTTCTTTTCTGAAGCAGCGGGGACGGTAAAGGACAGGTTTCACTTTGCAATGTCCTTACTTGGCAAACGTAGAAGGGCGGCAACTCTGTGACAAGTCTCAAAACTTTTTGGGAAATGTAATTGGTTCATGAAATCCCCGAACGTGATGTTGACAGAGTTAAAAAGGTCTCTTGGGCTCCTTTGAGTTCGGGGAGGGCCTGGGTGGGCACCGATGGGCTGAGAGGGGGGATCTGGGAGAGGCAGGCATGGAGGCGAAGGGACCCGCTGCAAGAGCCGGGGGGAGCTCCGCAGGGACAAGGCGCCTGCACGTAGTAGGTGCCCATCTGGGGCACTCGGACTGAAACGATTTCCTTGTGCATGCCGGACTCACGATCCAGGAGAGAGCCTTGGCGGGAAGGAGGCTGTGTGGGGAGGAGCTGGGAGAGGGGTCTCAGGGTCTCTGTGGAGGAGGGTCACACAGAGGAGAAGAGAGTCACGGAACATTCTAAGAGGCCCTGGAGTGGGTTCTGATCTGGATACCTGCCTTAGGTGGGGGTTCCCCAGAAGCAGAGCCTGAGACAGTGATTCGGTGCACACAGTGTGCCCTCGGGCAGGGGCAGGCTTAGGGTGAGACGAGGGAGGCAGGGCATGCAAGGGCAGGGCGGATCCCACCTTTATTTAAAATGTTGACGTTTAACTCATCATGCATTGCTTTTGCATTAATTTTGATTTTTTAAAAAACATTCCATTCCATTATTATTTGTCTGGGTGAGTGAGATTTTTGTCACCTTGCCCCTAAATTTGCACACAAGGCAAGTGCCCCCATGGCCTGGTCCCAGCTCTGTTCTCAGGAGAAGGGGAGGGAGGGAGGGAGCTGAGTGAGGATGTGGCCTCAGCCAGGTCCCACAGGGAGACCTGGAATGCGAATTGTGCCGGTGTCGGTCAGGGAGAGGCAGGAGAAGAGGGCAGCTGTGACCTGTTAGCCTCTGGCATTCTCTGCCGCTGGAGGACGGGTGCCCCTGCCAGTAAAGGGGACCTGGACCCGGCACCAGTAACACCCACGATAGTACCCTTGGCTGTTCTTTGAGAGATGGCGGTGCAAATTTAAATGATTTACAAGTGCTTTTGGCTGCTGGACTGTGTTTCTTTGATTATGATTGCACTGGAGCTTCCGAAGTCCAGCTGCTATCCCCCTCCCAGAATAAATGAAGGTGTAGGAAGGGGGCGGAGCCAATGTGGATGTGGGCGTGGTCTGAGGGCCTCAGTTTCTCCCAGGCTGCTGGCTCCTGTCCCAGCGGGTCGGAGCTGGGGAGAGGAAGGGCAAAGTGGAGAAGATGTCTGTGATTCTGGCCAAGGAAGGAGAAGCACAGGGAGGAGGCAGAAGAAGGGAGAGGGCTTTGCCACCCAGGTAACCAGGCATGTACGAGGGTCCTGGGAGACGGGCTAGGAGTTTGGGCTCTTTCTAAACAGGAAGGAGAAAGTAGTGGAGGCCTGAGACCTGGGATGGTAATTCTGAGTCCCCGATCCCTGGAGTGGGCTGGGCCTCCTGCTGGAGGTGGGGGGAAAGCAGCCCTTCCCTGTTGGATACCTCCCTGGGCTTGGGGCGGGGGCTCAGGGCTCCTTCTCCTGCCCGTGCCTTCCCTTTGGGATTTTAGGGAGAGACCAGGGCCCATATTTTCTTGCTAAAACTCCACCTCTGCTCCACCTGGGGCCTGAGTTTCTGCTATTAAAGCTGTGAATCCCAAATCCATTCATGACATTCTTCTGTAGCTGTAGTCCGTGAACGTGCAATGCATTTGTGCCTCTGCTGTGGCCTCAGCCTGGAACGCAAGCCTGGCCGACTCTCACTTGTCCTTCCAGTTTCGCTTCCTCCAGGCAGCCTTCCCTGACTTGGCAGCTGGAGTCCATACGATGCCCACGCGTTCCTTGGCCCCTGGGCTTACGTGGTCATGGTTTTGCTCACTATCTGTGGCTCCTAGCTGGCTTTGGGTTTCCTGGGAGTGGGAACTGTGGTTTTGTATTCCCAGCTCCTAGCCTGGTGCCTGGCAGATAGTATGTGCTCAGTAAGGTTTCTCGAATGTATGAATGAGATATACATAGTCTGTCATCAGGCATTTGTACCTTGGTGTGAAAGAAACTCCGAGAGGAGTTTTTGTTTTGTTTTGTTTTGTTTTGTTTTTAATTAAAAAGGCTTGGGATAATCCCGGGCCCTTACAACCGAATCATGTTCATGTCCGGGGCAAAGTCATATAATGGTAAGATTCGTAATCATACTCAACAACAATAATATGATGATAATAGATAACTTACTAAGTTATCGAATAATATATCTAATATTGTGTTAGATTGTTGGTTATCTAATAATGTTAAGTTACCATGGGACAGACATTCTT